CAATGTCTCCACCAACTCTCGAATCCAAACTTGCTTCTCCAGTTTGAGCGCTCCAACCTTCTGCTCCGGTTACCACTACACCACCAAATTCTGCTTCAAACAGATCCATGTTATCGATCTCTTGGCAGGAGGCTCTTCTAATCCCAGGACACTCCTATATAACAAAAGAGAAAAGAGTAAGTCAGGTTCACAAATAATAAATTCTAACACCCTTAAGCTACTGATACATCATACTACTCCTTAAGTCAACTTATTGCATCTCAACAACATATCTATTAACCCAATCAGGAAGAGGCAGCAATAGAATTTAGAACTGATGACAAGCAACTTCTCTATTAAACCACCGTAAGATAATAGCCTAAAATTAACTTAAAACAGAAGTTACAGCAGTAATGTATGGTCCACGATCTCGAACTTAATGTTCTTAGCTTCATTTGTATAAACAGTTTCTCAATCAAACCATATAACAATAGCAATTTTTGAATCAAAGCTTTACATAACCACATCTTTAATTTAAAAAAAAACTTCCTTTAATTTAACCACATCTTTAATAACAGTACCCAGCGTCCATGATCTTAGGTTTAATATTTTTCAGCCTTATAACACTAACAATTTCCAAATCATTTACAAGAGAGTAAGACAGAATAAATAAGAGAATGAGAAACTGACCTTTTCCCGTTCATTCCACCAATCTTCTGACATATCAATCCTTCCCATTCTATCAAACCCAAGCCCTGTCCTATTCTGAGTCAGCGTCCTATTCTTGATGTACTTCTTCCTACTGTTATCGTATTTGTTCTTGTAAGCCTTCCAGTCGGGAAAATCTTTCTTAAACCGCTGTTGAAATGCATCCATGATGGCCTTTTTCCCCACTTTATTCATATTTGTACCAACTTTATTTCCTTTTTTTCTCTCTTCCGCGTAGAGTTCGAAAAAATACCTAGTTTCCTCAGGTTTCCAAGACCCAGACTAAAGCAAACCAAAATTAATCAGTTATTCCATAAGACCCTAAAGTACAGACCCTAAAGCAAATTCCATAAGGCCAGACAGTTCACTAAGACCAGACAGTTCCATACATACATATAACTAACAAGCAAGAGTGTGAGAGAGCCTTACATCTTTTGCCATCTTAAACGTGAGAGAAGAGTGGTAGAGAGTGAGCTTGAGAGTGTGAGCTTGAGATGAAATCCTGCGAAAAAGAGAGATTAGAGATTAGACGATAAAAACAAAAAACACTAATCCCAATATTATTTAACAGTCATACTTAGACAAAGAAGATAGACTTTGTAGGAATTGAAACAAAGAAAATGAGATGCTGATGTATAAAACTGTTTTCTTTTAACACGTTACAAGTATAAAGACAATGTACAACTTTCAAATCAAAGGTATTTTAAAAAGAAGCCTTATCCAATCATGATTGGCACATAATATATAGTATTGATTAACAGTTTTCTTATAAGAAAAGCTATTATATATATATATCATATGTAAGTTAGATCAACTTGACAGAGCCCAATACTTGAGAAACATTCTCAAGGGCGATACAAAACCTTAAGCAGTGAATAATATAATTAAATACAAACAAAGTATGGGTTAGGGTCTACTTAACTGTGAAAATTTTACGACAATAAGACATACACTCTAAACATATGTCACCAATTCCAAGCTCAAATTTTAACGAATGACAACAGGTTTTACTGAAAAGACAACAGGTTCGAAATTTTTCCAAGCCATTAGCATACGATGATAAGAAATGGCCAATCTCATCACTTCACGAAAATTTCAGAAAATAGAAACTAAGGATGAGATAACATTGTTGGTTTATCCCTGCGGACTATGGAATAGACAGGCAACAGACACAGAGATGCAAACTTAGTAATCATACATTCTTCAAAATGTCCAATAACAAAGTTATGTCAACACAGAACTCATACCCGTTTAGCACCCGCTTGAGCACAGAAGATAGAAAGGATGCCTGTTCCACAGCCAACGTCCACCACAACCTGTTACAAGCAATCGTTGCAAAAATAAGTCTTCAAACAAAATTGTAAACTACCACATAACAAAAATAGTTTTGCCAAAGAAAGCCTTCACACAAAGGAATCGAATCCAGACACAGGCTAAGCAAAACTAAAGAATAAACCCTTTTTTTTGTTTCCACATCATCATCACAGATCAATGAACTCAAACTCATCATCCTTAAGATGAGCAACAAACTTGACATCACAGGGTTTGCAATTTATATCACAAAAAAAAAACACAAAAAAAAAACACAAAAAGCAACGCAAACCGTAGAACAGAGAGAGATAAGGAATGACTTACAGCAAACCTTAGAAGCAAGCAAGACTTGCCAACACCAGAATCCACCAATAAGCAAAAGCTTGAAAAGATAGTCACTGCAAAATTAAAAGAGTGAAAAATAAGCAGAAGCTCTTACTTTACTCAACACTCAGCTCAAAACAGAGCACCACAACCAAGACAATTCAAACAAAATATAAAAACAGAAGCACTCGTTCTTTGGAGCTTATGGAACACCACAACCTAACAAACGACGTATCTTTCACATATGTTCTCGATTTCTAGATTATTGAACTCAACACCATTACTGCAAGACTCACTAACAAAAAGATTAAAACCTCTATAACTCCATGGATGCCTCGGAACATAGAGAAATCACAAGAAACAGAGGTGCTGAGCTTGATGCTTCTTACACCAGATTCAATAGTGTCACTACTACTTTATAGCACATATTCTTTAACATGTAAAGCAAACACTACCAAAGAGCACTATTATAGTTTTTGCTCCAAATGTATTACTGTCTGCAATAACAACTGATTATTTTGATCATTAATAAATTATTTCCGGGAAAAAAGAAGAAGCAAACACTAACCAAAGAGCACTGAAACAATTGATTGAACAATCATCAACAAAGTTCACAAAAAAAGCTAAAGCCAATATAGAAATACAAATACCTTTCCTTGTAACCTACCACTAATAAGCTTTTGTATCTTAAACCTCTTCTTCCTCCTCTACTTAGCCACCAATCGCCTTCTACATAACTCTCCACTCTACTTCCATCTTCACAGCAAAAGAACAAACACCCTTTACACACACAATTCACAAAAACGTTAGAACACTAGCAGCCGTTCTTATATCCACAAGAGTTATAAAACACAACAGACCTCTAGATACGTCAGAGATGGGTTTTCAGACAAGATAGAGAGAGAGCTCTAGATACGTCCGAGAAGAGATCGAGTCATCATCATCATCAGTATCTGCAACATACCATCATCACTATCAGTATCCAAAGACAATCACATTCAATATCAAACAGAGACCGTTACCTCAAAGAGAGAGAGAGCGAGAGAGAGAGAGCTCGATGGGTTTGCTTCTGAGAAGAGAAGAGAGAGATGGGTTGCGTCGGAGATCCAGAGAGATGGGTTTGCTTCTGAGAAGAGAAGAGAGAGATGGGTTTGCGTTGGCGTCGAGAGAGAGCTTAAGATGGGTTTGAGAACTCGTGACAGAGAGATAGCTCGAGATGGAGTGAGAGCTCTGGGTGGAGTGAGAGCTCGTGACGGAGAGAGAGAGATCGAAATCGAGAGAGATGGAGAACGAGGTCGAGAGAGACGGAGAGACGACAGAGAGAGAGCTTGAGATGGGTTTGAGAACTCGTGACAGAGAGATAGCTCGAGATGGAGTGAGAGCTCTGGGTGGAGTGAGAGCTCGTGACGGAGAGAGAGAGATCGAAATCGAGAGAGATGGAGAACGAGGTCGAGAGAGACGGAGAGACGACAGAGGTTGAAGGCGAGATCTCGAGAGATGATGGAGATCGATGAAGAAACGAGAGAGATGGAGAAGAAAGAAGCTGCGTCAAAGAGTGCGGCTGCGTCACTTTAGGTTTAGGTTTTGTGTAAATACTCTAGTTTATCAAGGGTAAACCAGTAAATTACATTATTAGCCGCATGTTTTAGGTCGCGGACGCTGGTTTTATCGGCGTCAAACGCAAGACGCAGCGTTCGGACGCGGCGTCAGACGCACGTACGTGCGTCAACCAAACGAACACGATTTTAAAAAAAAAGTTGACGCTGACGCTGACGCACCTACCTGCGTCGACCAAACGAACAGGCCTATGGTCTGAGAGTATGAGACTGAGCACAAATCGAACTTAATTTGAGCCTGACTTGCTTAACCTTTTCGAGTTTTTTCTTTACACATGGTTTTGCTTTTGCTTCACTTGTGAGTTCTTTTGTGGTAGCAATGCTCAACCAAGATAATCTCCCACTCTCCATTTACCTACTAATTTACTCTAATACAAACAAATCCAGACAACCAATAGAAGTAAGACAAGAGTTTCTCTGTGGGGTTATGTTGCACTTTCCTTTCTAAAATAAGGACTAAATGATCAATAACGAAAGTTCGGTGTTCAAGTATAAAAGTAGGTTTAAAATATGAGGACTTAAATGTAAAACTGAGTAATAAAATAGAAGAAAGAAAGGTGTTAACTTGTAATCGTTTCCCTCTGGAAGATAAAGTCGTGTGTTTCTGAGGTTTTCCCCAACGAAAGGAACTGAAAATCGTAAGAATCCAAGTCGAGAGAAGGATCAAATCAATCTATAAAGATGGTGAGGCGAATCGATTTTGTTTCGTGTTGGCGCGATGTTAATTTTGAGTTTTTTTCTATCATGATCAGTTTTGATGTCTGAATCAAACGGAATCTATACTAGGGTTGAGTTAAAAAGGTTTAAACTTTAAGCCCGAAACGGTTTGTTAATTTTGCTTTTGGTGATCACAGGATGACAGTGTTCGAGAAATTCGTGATTCTCATGGTGGTTCTGATGCTATTAATGTCGCGAGTCAAAGCATAAGGGAGACTAGAGAAGAAGATCCTCCCTTACACGATAGCACAAGACTTGAACCAGATCATCAGAATTTGAAGATCCAAATGGTTTGCTCTTCTAATTTTTTATTGGTTCTTGTCTAAATCAAACAAAATATATACTAGGGTTGAGCTTAAAGGTCTAAACTTTAAGCTCGAAATGATTTGTTGAATTTCTTTTGATCATAGGATGACAGAGTTCGTGATTCTCATGGTGATTCTGATGTTGGTAATGTCGTAAGCCAAAGCATTAGGGAGACTATACAAGAACATTATACCTTGCGTGAAGACGATACCAAAAGGCTTGAATCAGATCATCAGAATTTGAAGCTTGAAATGGTTCCGTGTTTTTAATATTTGATTTTTTTTTTTTTTTTCTAAATGAAACGAACTATGTACTAGATTGAGCTTAAAAGGTCTAAACTTTATCATAGTTTGCTAAGATTTTCTTTTCTCTCTGATTGGTGATCATAGGATGACATTGTTCGTGGTTCTCTTGGTGATTCTGCCTTAAGTCAAAGCATCAGGGAGACTAAAGAAGAAGATTCTACATTACGTGAAGACGATACCAAAAGATTTGAACCAGAGCAACAGAAGCGCGGTAAATACTTTTTCTATGATACACCGCTTTCTGAAGAAACCGGGGTTTGGATACCTGTTTCAGTCCCACCAATGCTGGAACCTGATCATGAGGAATGGTCAAGAGGCCTTAGTTTCAACGGTGGTTACTTCCCGGAGGGAGATATGGGATGGAACCAGATCCCTGATGAAGACAAGGAGCTAACAATGTGGGATGTAATAGTGGATATGTTACTCGCAGCACGTGGTAAAGCCACTGCTCTTGCTTCAGGCAACCTCGAGAGTGGCATTTCATTTTTCTCGGGACAACTTCTTCTTGAACAAGCTTGGCAAGACATGGCTCACACTCTCACTGAGGCCAACTTTGGTAACGCAAGAGAGGTTCTTGAAACAGAGCCACCAAAGTGGCTACCAGACAGTGCTGCTTCTGCTTGTATGCTTTGTAGTGTGAGATTTCATCCGATCATGTGTTCGCGTCATCACTGTCGATACTGTGGAGGATTGTTCTGTAGAGACTGTTCTAAAGGAAGAAGCTTGCTTCCAGTGAAGTTTCGTGTTTCGGATCCTCAAAGGGTTTGTGATGTGTGTTGTGTGAGGTTGGAGACTGTGCAGCCTTATCTGATGGACCAAGTGAGTCCTGCTGCGCAGCTGCCAACTCATGACTTGACCGATCTTAGTACGTTGAGGTCTTGGGTGAATTTTCCATGGGGACAATCTATGGAGTATGAGATTTATAAAGCAACAAACACTATTCGGGGTTATATATCCAAGGTGAGATCTTTGACTCCTTAATGGTTGATTCGCTTATGTCTGTGAAATTTAGGATTCTAAAAGCATGTCTTGTATTTGAATAGGTTGGTTCTTCGAGAACTGAGAGGTCCATCCCAGATGCTATTCTAAGACAAGCAAAAGGTCTTGCAGTAATCACTGTTGCCAGAGTTGGAGTTATGGTTACTTATAAAATTGGGACTGGACTTGTGGTTGCTCGTAGAGATGATGGCTCCTGGTCTCCTCCCTCAGCTATCTCTTCGTTTGGTTTGGGATGGGGTGCTCAGGTAACGCAGCTCTTTATGTGCTTCTTAGATATTGAAACGATGCTTTATCCATTTGCTAATAATAACTCACCTGCAGGCAGGAGGAGAGTTCATAGACTTCATTATTGTCCTAAGAACTCGTGATGCAATCCGAACGTTTGGAAGTAACACCCATTTTGTTGTTGGAGCTGGTTTAAGCGCTGCGGTTGGTGTGACTGGAAGAGCTGTTGAAGCAGATATCCGAGCAGGTAGTGGTGGTTATGCCGCTTGCTACACCTACAGCTGCAGCAAAGGTACATGTGACTGTCTCAAACTGAAATAGATTTTAGCAGATTACTTTCTTAGTAGATGGTTCTTAGTCTTCTCTGCTTCCCTAAAAGTGGTTTGCATTGTCCACCAAAAATTTGTATCCGTTATAAAATTTGTGTAGAAACTAAGCTCGACTGCGAGAATCTTACTTAAAAACGCCTTTGTATGAATAGGTGCATTTGTTGGATGCTCGCTTGAAGGAAGCATCTTCACAACACGTACAAGTGAGAACTCACGGTTCTATGGGAGCCAGTCCCTATCTGCGTCTGACATCCTCCTTGGCTCTTTGCCTAAACCACCCGCTGCTGCTCCACTCTACCGTGCGCTTGGTGATCTCTTTCAGAAGATGGGGAGGTGATTTTAAACACAGTTGAAGACTTACTTGTAAATTTGACTTGATGGATGAAAAAGAAGTTGACCTGAAAATTTTCTTGATGGTTTGCAGTGAACCTATTCGGTCATCAACAACTTCATCGTTTTCTGAAGACTGAACTTGTTGAACTGGATTTATCTATTTGGAAGAATGATAGTGTCTTTTGTACAGATTCATGCAAATTCTTGAATGTAAATAGGTTGTGGAGATTTGGTTGGATAGTTTGTGGTTTGTAAATAAACATATACTTATTGTATCCCCTTATTGTATATACATCTGAAATAAATAATTTTCTCTGAAATAAACAGTACTTGCTTCCACACCTGTAGCGACACTGCCTTATTTGTGGGTTTTGAGATTGTAAGGACAGAAACAGCTTTACAAAAACCATAGACGCTGAAGAAACATCAAAATTTGACTCTAGCTCACTTTTTATTCTCATCTTGCATAGATCTAAAGCTTGTTTGGCAGAGTTTGAAGACCAAAAATCCTTCATTTGGCAACTTTCTTCTTCCTCAGAAGATCTTCCACTTGGAGCTCGTTGATCTTAGCAGCAAGAATGAAGTCGTTCTCGGTCAAACCACCTATTGCAAGAGAATCAGATATAGCTTATTAGACAATTGCGACTTATAAAATCCACCAAAAATATGAACAGAAATCAGAAAGATGTTTCAGGCATTTGATAAGATTCTTATCTTCATATCAACAACATAGACTATGATTCTCACCTATGGCATGTGTCCATATATCGATCTTCACATTATTCCAGCCTACAAGATGCAAATCTGGGTGATGACCTGCATCAAACCGATCCTTGCTTCAGAGACAATAATAGTAACAGATCTTTCCCCACGCTATCTCCTTTTGTTTCAAATCTTATTCAGAATGGTTACAAAGTCTGTGTGCTGAATTGAAAGATGATATTTACCTTCTGATTCAGCGATATCAGCAACACGTTTGAAGAAGTCTAGTCCTTTTGTAAAACTCTTCACTACCCACGATCGATGCAGCTTTAATGTACCATTATCATTAGCCATATCCCATCCAGAAACCTGTGTTAAAAGGAATAATTCAGGAGGTCAGCAAACTTAAAAGTCTTCACCTGCCACAGTATTAAAGGCGAATATAAATACCTTTTGAAGTAGTTCTTGGGCACTTTGTTCAGTCATGGGGCGCAGATCCTTAGCGTTGCATGGCACACACTTTTTGGCTGTTAAATCTAAGAAAATGAGCAAAAAGAATACCATGTCAAGCAGATACATAGTTTCGAGTTTTTTGGTTACAAATCCTGAAGAATACAGGCTATCTTTTAATCAATCAGGATGTTCACCATATACACAACAAAAGTACCAACAAACGAAGCATATATTTCACAAGGCTTAGCAGCAATTCATCGATTAGTGAAAATTTGATTCAAAAAATATTGACTGCAGTGCAGAGACTGATAATAATACCTTCTAGGGAGCAATATGTTCTAGCTCCAGAAGCAGAGCCACTATCTTGTGACATAGCAGCACTCGTCCAATGAACAAAGCTGCAAGGAAATTTCAAAAAAGATTTAATCTTTAAATCCAAGAGAAACTTATCATCTCTAATGAACTCTATAAAACGGAAAATAACATCAAAATCAGGGAACTTGATTTCATTTCTTGAGACTCATTTAACCACGAGAGTCAAGAACAATCTGAAACATATCAAACCCAATTATCAAAATCCGTCCTTTTGCAAACCATTACCTCCTGTGACGTCCGTACAGACTGTGGCACGGTGGCGCAGCTCGAACCTGAAAGTGTCGCAAAAACAATGGATAGATGATACATAACTCCAGATATGCATGTTACATATACATAATACATAGATGAAGAAAGAGAGATCATATTGGTTTTAACTTTTAACCTGATTTCTAGAGATTGATAAAAGTGTAGGCAGCAACAGCCGACTCATCGGTGGTGTCGCAGCTGTTCCGGAAATTAGTTGAGATTTTGGGTCCGAATTTTATGTGGGTGGGGGCTAATTTACGATATCATATATGTACAGTTTAATTTGTAATAACCTAGAGTTTGGGTTATTGTGTGTGCTCGTTAGAGGTGGACACAATTATTTACTACTCGGCTGGTACTTGTTACTTGATATGTACTTGGCTCTCTTAAAATCTGAGTACCAAATACTAAAATGAAAATAACTATTAAAAGTTGTTGGTTTGTTACTCGTGACTTATTACTTGATTCATTACCCATTTTTACTTTTGGACAAAAAAAATCTCTAAATTATAATCAAATTACTTGTTTATAAAATAAATTAATTAAAAGTGATATATTATAGTTTTAGAGTTTTCTTTTTAATTTTATATTTATCATATATCGATTTAAAACATATGAAAAATAAATCAATATTCTATATTAAAAATTGTTTAGATTATAATTATAACAAACTAAATTTTCTTAAATTCATAAACAAGGTTTAAGTAGCTAAACTTAATAAACTATTATTGAATAGTTTACAAATAATTATATAGTACTTTATAAATTAGTTCATAAGAAACAAGTAGTAAAACGGAGCAAATACTTGCAAATATACCATTTTTTAGAAGTACTTGAAAGTATAAGTACTCGTTTTTAATAAACCAAGTACAATTCCAAAATTTTATTACTCAAACAAGCCAAGTCAAGTACCAAGTACACAAAAAATGGCAAGTACTTAGCTTGTGCCCACCCCTAGTGCTCGTAAGTAGCAAATTTTTTCCTTCGATTAAATAACCGACCCAAATGGAACCATTTTTCGTCCATAAATATATAAACTGCGGGCTCCTAATATTTCTTTTTTTCTTTTAACACTGAATTATCATTAGATTAACAAGGAGGGCACAAAGGTGGGATACATAGGAGAGATTCACGACACTAAAAAAGAGTTGGCGAGCCATTACAAGAATCCCAGAAATTTAAGCTAGGCGAAGAAAAAAATTCCCTCGAAATCAGACAACGTGCAAGTCTACGGAAGCCATAATCATAACTACACACTAACAATCTAATCAAAACAGATCTGATCCAACACATAAAACATTGAATAAACGAAGAACCATTGGGAAGAGAAGGATTTAAAGGAAAACAACACCAAGGTAGAAACTTTATTGATGGAGATAAAATACATCACTCTTTATATTGCTCCCAAACGCTAAAGGAGCCACGAGAAGAACTGTATGATACAACCAAGGAAGACACAGTGAAGAACTGGTTTACCTGACGACTTCCATTGACATGTTGCTAGTGAGCCGAAGCTCCAACTCCAAAGATTTAAGGATGAGCGATCCTTCTATTCCCAACAGCTTCATCACTAGAGTCTACTATCAAACCATGAAAACCGAAGAAGAAACAACTCCCAACAAAAGGCAAGGACCGAAAGCCAACGATCTGATCCAAGGTCTTAAAACCAGAGAAACACTACACATCGATGATCAAAGAACGTGGAAAGGACATGCACTCAGTCAGAGAGTAAGAAATCAACTTCGAGATTTTCGATCTAGATCTAGATCCACAAGAGAAAGAGACTTAGGTGATCACAAAAGGCTATATAAGCAAACAGAGAAAGTAAAAGAACTTTTAAAACAAATCCCGACCGACATTGTGGCTGTGAGAGCCCACAAACGCCGGCCAGAGATTAGAATTGATCAGAGAAGAAGATAGAGTTGGGAGCTTTTTGTTTTTAGAGAGAGGTTGCATAGTTGATGCAATTATGCTCCTAATATTTCTATAAAAAAACTATTTTTAGTAGTGTTTAAAGTATGTTTCTAATCAGACACAGTTTGATGATTAATTGGTTATTTACCTCCTAGGACACATTATGTGTTATCAATAACCTATAAAGACACAATGGGCTGAGAGAGCACTTTCACATGTCTATTTGTCTAATTTCCCATGAACTAGAAAGTAAATATGTTTGTTCTTTTTTTTTAACAACAAATATGTTTGTTCAAAATATTCCAAAATGTATTAAAAAAAATAAGAGAAATAATCTATAATTTCTTTTTTCTCTTTAACTAAAAACCCCCAATTTCCTAAACCTAATCTCGTCTAAATCTGTTGCCATTTTGTTATCTCTCACTTTTCACAATTCTTTGAACCCTAATCTCTTTGTCTCCTCGCGAATCTCAGGCAACCTCCAACCCACTACAAATGAGTTTTGAAACAATCGACATCCGAGGCCGTACTGTTCCGCATACGAAAGCCAAATCTTTGTCTCCTCAATCTCACATCTATTACATAGATTTCTAGACACTTATGGTTGGTTTCACTGAGAATCTTCAACATGTAAATTCCGATTTTTGTTTCTGAAAGGTAACTATTTTTTTTTATTCAATTTCTCTATCTAAATCTCAACTCTCATTCTTTGTACTGAAATGACCTCTGACTCTCTGATAGGATGTTCGTAAGTGATAACTGATACGAATCCCTAATCTCTTTGTCTCCTCAATCTCACATTTATTGTACATAACCACCGTATCACATCCATTTGATAATAGGCATCCCTCTCCCCACAACCACAACACATGTATCCACAATCCAGGTCCACAACCCTCGTCTTTAACCACACTTTCCTTATCCACATGTACGTTGATACGTGCTCAAATTTACCCTATGGAGCAACTTACTCTCTCAAATAAGAGATCTATTGCAGTAATTAGGGATCGAATCCACAAGGAGCTATTAACCTATTAAATCTAATCAATAAATAAACTAGGTGAATATAAATATTGAATTGCAGTAGGAAAATAAACAATAAATAGGAAATATTCTAATTAAGCAAGACGATTACTCAACAAAAATGGAATGAGGGTTTTGAAACTAAAATGGAAAGGTGTTAGACTTAGGGTTTTTATTCAGGTGTTGAGATTATAATCCTATAGGTGCTATCTAGTTGTTTGCATGGCATTAAAGAACATTAACGATCTTAACAACAGATTCACTAAACTTTCATTTAATAAATAAGCCTATTGACTAGAATGTTGTCGACCAAGACAAGAATGTCCGATCAATGACATTGTCGATCGAGTATTCTAGAGGAATATCGACCGATTCACTTTACTCAACATCGTTTGATTTCTTATGGAAATATTGATCGATGCAGCTAGTCAAGCATTACAAGCGAGTTAACAAAGACTCACTATGGATCCCTAAATCAAACTTTCGCTCTATTTCCAGTAAAATCCTAGCTTAATCAGGATGTGTTCAAGACTGTCAGAGTTATTCAAAGGTATTTAAACAATCTAACAATCCTAGATTTAGGTTTCTAGTTAGCAAGTCTAGAACATAAGCATTAAGAACATCCTATTAATGAGTACCACAACAAGCGATCCTAATGTTGGGGCTAATCCCTCTAACCTATTTAAACCCTAATTCAAACAAGTAATTAGCCAAACATGGCTAAGCAATTAATAACACAAGCAAAGTAATAAACATCATAGTATAGATTGATAGAAAATAATGGAGTTCCTATCACAGATCTCTCTCTTGTTCTTCTCTCCCAAACTATAACTCCTAAAACCTTTTGTTGTGAAAAGAATACAAAAAAGCTCTTATGCCTCTAACAGTTTGGCAGAGTATATAAACTTAGGTTAAAACTCGTCAGGGGTATAATCGTCATTTGATGATGTTTGGACTTCAAGCCGGCTGTCTCGCGAATTGGTCTCTGCGCCTTCAGCATCGATCGATCATGCTAAGTGCATGTCGATCGACGTGAGTCACTCCATGTCGACCTCGATCGTTGTAGTCGATTCCAAATCGAGTGATTTCTCCGGTTCTCTCTAAAATGCTCCAAAACATCACTTTCTTCCAAAATACTCTTGAATCTATAAATATGCTTAAAAGCTTCTATAATATAATAAAGAGTAGTAAAAACACCATTATACCATGACTAACAACGGGTCAAAATCATGGTATATCAAACTTCCCCAGACTTACCCATTTGCTTGTGTTCAAGCAAAACAAACATGCAGTCTCTCTGAAAAAGGTTTGAAAAGAGCAGCGACTCACAGATTTAAAAACTTTGAAATCATAACCTCTATAATATTACAATCCACATCTAAGAAGTTCTAATCACAGAAGTTCATTATGTCATATCCTAGCTTAGCAACCAAATTCATCTAGCAACCAACTTAGCAAATACTATCTGACATTCCCTTCAGCTAACTTCATTTCTTAACATAAAATCAAAGTGCAGGCTTTACGTTGGGAGTATCGATCACATGATGCAAGGAATCTCAAACAAGTATTTGAATCTGCAGTAAAAGTTAGTTTTTTCTCTCTTCTAAGTTTTATCTTGAGTCAAAATCTACTTATAAGGCATGATTATTGACCAAGATTGGACAGACTTCCATGAAACAAGCCTTAATGGTGTTTGTCACCAAGTCTTAATAACTTCTTTTGACCTATATCCAAGAATTCATATGAAGTGAGCCTTAATGGTTGTATCCACCAAGTCCCATTCAAACTCTTTTATTGGAATCATTATGAATCAAGCCTTAATGGTTGTAGCCACCAAGTTTTGTTCTGATTCCTCCTAACTAAAATCCTAATAACTTAGTACTATTTTCAGATTTTTTTTAATAATTATAAATCTACTGAACTATCTAGGGTCGAAAATAGAGAGAGAAAAGGTGATAAATCTACACAAGGCTTTATCTTCCAGACTTGTTTGAAGAAACCGATCCCATGTATACCAAACCCCAAGACAAGCAGTTATGTTAGGTTTAGTGTTGGAGGTCAGCTTCGGTTCCTTCAAACAATTTAGGCAAGTGTGAATAGCTGATTGGTTGATCCATTATAGCATCTTTAGTATTATATGTAATCATAAGATCTAGAATGGTGCGAGAAAGTGGTTAGATAACAAGTATAAATCAAATTCGATCATTATACATTTTCTTGAGCTTAATATAAATAGTTTTCAAAAAC